AAAAGTTAAAAAAATTTATAGTAGGGGGGGGGGGGGGCAATAGGGATTTCGCCTAGGGCGTCAAATTGGCTAGAAACAGCCCTGCATACATGAATCACCTCGTAGCAGATCTATACAAGTGGAGCTGGGGAAGGTGGAGGGTTTCTGGAGAAAGTTGCAACTGCTACTGCAAGCACTAATCATATATTTGAATGTTGAGCAGCGAGCTCATTGGCTACAAGAGAGAACCAATCAGCTGTGCCATGTGATGATGTCATTAGGTCAGATTGAGTTAGACCTATCGGACTGCGCCATCTAGAGTTTCATGCCAGAACTCTGTATGTATCACTCTGCGTGAGTATACTGAATGTTGGACATACATTTTTAAACTGTACAGAGGGCTGGGCAATAATTTAGTTACATTTTGATTTAATATATAGTACATATTACTTTGTGTGCTGTACAGTAGTGATGGGCACTTTCAAAACACTGCTTCATGAATCTTTGAAACCTTTATGAATTTTTTGTTTTGAATCATATCATACTACTCATATTTTACACATATCATACTACCAGTCACGTGATTTCAGTAAACAAGACACTTAAACAAAACACTAAACGGAAATGTTTCGACATTTCAGTGATTCACTGCTAGAGGTGAGCTCTGTGAACCCATGAATCGTACAAGATCACTGAGATTGCCCCATAGCGGCAAACCATTGAACAAGCGTCTTAATATTTACCTGATTTCAGATCAGTTTTTATAAATTTGTGGACGTTTTAATGAGGCATTTGAATAATTAAAAGGAATAATAGTATAGTTAATAATCACTTATTGGCCCGTTTAGCTGAATAACCCAAACAAGCCCTGAAAATGGATAAAGGAACACATATAGACACTTAATATTTAATGGTAATTTAATGGATGGTTAGTTAATTTGCTTTGCTTTCAATAGAGCACTTGCAATGGGTTTGTAAAAGCTATTTTTATGTTTGGCCTGAGTTTTTGTTGCATTTACACAGTTTTGACCAGCAAGTGTCACCAGTGTGGGGTTTCGAACGCTTCGAAATAGTGAATCATTTTGCGAAGCAATTGGTTCAGTTGATTCAAAGATTTGAAAAGCTTTGTTTCTCTCATCACTACTGTAGAGTATGTATGCTGATAAAGTGGGACGTACCTATATATGGAACTTTATATCCAGCTCCCTATATATCCAACGATAACTAAGCTACATTTTTGTTGCAAATAAAAAAACATGAATGTAATGTATGCATGCAGATAAAGTAAAAATTGATAATACAGTTTACATTTTGCATTTTACATAATCATAACTGAGGTTTGCTATATAAAATATTGCTTTACATGTGCATCCTGGATGTTTGCAGGTGAAGCAGGACATACTATATATCCAACTTCTAATATATCACTGGCTGATAATATAGTTGACACTTTTCACCAATATTACAACCAAGCAGTTGAGATTTGCTATTTAGTACATATCGCTTTACATGAGTGGAACAAGAGCATACAGTACAGATTGTTACTGTTTTTGCAGGGACACTTAATTCATCGCCTGTGTACAAATAAAAGATTATGTACAATAGTCTACGATAGAGTCTAAGTACCTTCCACCACACCCCAGGGGTACTGA